CGAAAAGGAATGGGACAACTGGAGTGGGGGTGGGCTCTAATGGTCAGTGTTGAGGGGGATCAGGGGAAGAGTGTGACCCTGGGGGTCAGAAAGAGGGACTGGAGGGCTTTATGGCCGAACCGTGGAGGGGGACGAAGCAGCGATGTACCCCGGATTGGGGGGGACGGGGATACAGCGCACCTCCCCACACCGAGCAGCGATCCTGAGCACCACCGAGGCCCCACTGGGCCCCTCCCCGAACACCCACTTGTAGAAGCTGAGGCGGCGCTCGGAACCCCGGAGCTGCCCTGCGCCGTTGGAGCAGCGCGCGGCCCCGCACCACTTCCGCACGGCTGCCTCGGTCTCGCGGCGCAGGGTGATGACGTCACACCGCCTCACGCATCTCACCCAAGTCAGCCACTCGTCCCTCACCCGGCCCCAACGCGCTGCTCCAGTAATCGCCCTCAACGCAGGCAGAAAGTAATCAACCTTTTATTTTCATTATTCCCTACTAAAAATCTCTGCTGTCTTTTGCGAATTGCCTGAATTTCCACTTGTTACACGCAGGTATGTTTTGCGTTTCCCCAGTTGCTCCGTGTCTCTAATTTGACACGGCCGAAGGCTTTGCGGGGCTCCTCCTGCTGATACAAAGAGAATAGGCTTCGTTACGCACGTAGGAAGAGCCACGGCACATTCGCACAGCTCCCTTTGCCAGCCGCAGAACCCTGACTTGCTCTGCTCAGCTCCCTGGGCTGCCGTGGGATGGCAGAATGGCGCTGCTGATGGGGGAAGGCAGCTGCACTCCTCCCTCTTGCCAGCAGTCGTCCCTTCCCAGGGGGACAGTTTCCCTCCCACAGCGCCTTCCCGCTGCTGCTCTCTCTGCTCTAGTAGGAAGAGAAAGTGCTTCCAAAAGTGGGATGGCTGCGTTCCCCTCGTCTGTCTTCCCCGCAGGAGTTGGCCATGTTGGAGAGCAGAGGCTGAACAGGCAAACCCTTTTGTCCCAGCACTTGCAGGCAGCCCGGCCTTCCTCCCTGGCAGCCTGCCACACACACTGGCCATACCTGCATGTGGAAGATCTGGGTGATCTCTCTGTCGATGTCGTAAACAAACAACCCGAGGAGAGTTTCACCTTTGTCCTCATCTGCTCCCTCAAAGACAAGAGATGATGGCGGTCATACTTAGGCAGGCCGTATGAAAAAGAACATGCTGAGGCTGAAGGTGGGAGCCCCTCCCCCCCCACATCAGCTCTGGCTCGATTGGAGCACAAAGGAGGGTGAACCCGAGTTAGGGCACATGGAGAAATTGCTCCCAGCTGCTTGGCCATGAAGAGCAGCAGAGGGGTCTTATAGGGCTCTATGGGGTCTTATGGGGCTCTGTGGCAAAGCTTTTCCTTGGGGCTTTCCTCCAGAAGAAGCAGTGAGCAGAGACTTACCAAGACAGCAAACTCTTTGGGGGCACTGCTGACTTCCCCAGAGGGAGAAACTGCCTTGGAGATGTGCCAGACAGTGAAAGCCATGGGTTGGAGATGCTGATTCTGAAGGTGCTTGTGCTGGAGCTTGAATTTCAGCCTGCAGATAGCTGGCTGTGGTGGTTGATGATGCTCACAGCACAGGGTGTGAGGGCCTTGCATAGGAGCTGATTCCTGAGGAGGCATGAGAGGGTTGGCACCCTCCAGTTCCTGGGAGGTCCCAAATGCCCTTGGGCAACGGAGGGGGTGACAGTGGATGTGGGGGGCTGGGAGCAGCAGACTTTGCCTAAGCTTAGGATTGGAGTAGCTCAGTTCCCAATGAGAGCACATCATTCCTACTGTCCTGCTTTCTTTCCAAAGGAACTGACCGAGAAACTGAGCAGGATGCACTGCAGGAAGGCAGCCATCCCACACTGCCGGTCTTAGACAGTGGAACACAGGCAGCACCAACAACTGGCATGCCAGGTAATTTCTGTCCCACGCTTATCCAGCGTCACTTACCAGAGTCACTGTGTGCCTGCAGGCTTTTACTGCCTGCCCTTGCACACCAGCTCAGCAGCCAAACCTGAGCGTGTGGGCACAGAGCATGTGTAAAAGAAGCCAGGGATGGCTCTCTGAAAATGGCTGACCTCAGTTCCAGCGGTGTGCCAGAGAAGGTACTTGCTCTGTGACTTGCTCTCTCTTGCTCAGAGAAGGTACACCTCTGTGATGCTGCTCAGCTCCCACCACTCACAGTTCCCAGAGAGTTGTGAGCTTTGCCCTTATGCAACAAAGCCACCTGGGGGCGATGAGCAGGGTCCTGTGTGATAGGAGCCTGCAGGAGTGTTTCTTCCCTGGGCTGACTCTGTGCCCCGCGCTGGCTGGTGCCCAGCCTCTAACCTGGGGGGTGTCCTGCGGGAGAGCTCAGGACACGCGCGCTGGGAAAAGTGTGAGGGATTCTGCTCTGCAGTGCTCCCCACAGACAAAGCCCAGATCCCAGGGCACAGCCCCAGCCCTCAGCCCAGAGGAAGACACGGGTAGTGCCTGTGCAGCCTCTCCCCACCCAACAAGAGGTGGAAGACCCGGTGCTTAAGCACCAGAGACAGAGGCACCCACTAATGAAAATCTCTTGGGTCCATGAAGCACACTGGGAGATCATCTATAACGCAGGTGAAGGTAACATGGAACATTGTCTCATTTCTTCCAGGCATGAATGCCAGGAAAAGCACAGAGGCTGCTGTTCAGAAATCTGTGCAGAAGCACCACATCGCAGCCATGGTAATGTTCTCAGTTGTGCTGCTGTCTGCGCTGATGCTGGCCTGTGGTGCTGTGATATGGATGTGCAAAAAATACCTGTGAGTTGGCTTTTCCCCAAAACACCCAATTGCTGCATTTGGCAATGAAGTATTTATAGTGCCAGGATCCCGGACGGCCAAATCAGCTGCTGGCAGTACACTGCCAGGACTTATGTTGCCAAGTCTTCCTAGTTTCCCCTTATTTCGCTGTCAGGGAGTAGTCCTTTCTGAAACTCCTTTTCACAGAGTGTGCAAGAGAGAAGAGAGAGCAGCAGAACCAGCTCATCCTGATACCAACTAGGAGAGAGTTCCAACTGGAAATGAGGGCAGAATGGAGCTGGGAGAAGCAACAAAAGACTCTTGCCCCATCAAACAAAAATCTCAGCAATAGTTCTGGTCCATTCCATTCTGCCATCCAGGAGGCCAGAGGTCTTCAAAGTCATCTAGAAGGCCTGGAGCGTGAACTCAGAGCCGTGAAAGAGGTCCTGGGAACAGTCCTGAGTGCTGCTTTCTGTCAGAGGACGTCCCCGAAAGTGAGAGTGGAGAATCAGCAGCAGAGTTTTTGTCCTTCATCCTGCACTCTCCAGGACAAGTATCACCAATAATTTGAAGATTCTTAGCTCGCCATAGCTACAGTCCTTTTGAGGGTCCTCATCCCAGAAGAAGTGAGCTTCCTCCGCCCCCGGACAATACGTTAACATCTTTGGAGACGTGGATGAGAATGGCTGGTTTCAGGGAGAGCTGACAGATGGCACAAGAGGACTGGTCCCTTCCAGTTTGGTTGCAGAGGTTTCAGATGATGAACTGGATACACCTCAAGATCCTGTCAGAATTCCTACATCACTCCATCTGCAAGACTACCCCCTGCTCCCCTTGATGTTCAAGTGGAATGTGTGCAGGATGTGGATGAGCTCTTACAAAACAAAACAGAAACAAAAACAATCAATTAAACACCCACAATAAAACAGTCAATCAAACAAAAAACCCTAGGCTGTTCTTTTTCTTGGATAAACGGCTGTTTACAAGGGTGGATAGTGATAGGATATGGGGTTTTAAACTAAGGCAGGGGAGGATTAGGCTAGATATTAGGAGGAAGTTTTTTCACGCAGAGGGTGGCGAAGCACTGGAACAGGCTGCCCAAGGAGGTTGTGGATGCCCCATCCCTGGAGGCATTCAAAGCCAGGCTGGATGTGGCTCTGGGCAGCCTGGACTAGTGGTAGCCTGGTTGGTGACCATACATGTAGCAGGGGGGTTGGAACTAGATCACTGTGGTCCTTTTCAACCCAGACGTTTATATGATTCTATGATTCTATGATGGTATCAGACCTCAGCGAAGTAATGTGAAAGAAACAAGCCCTTGAAATTAAGCTTGGTTTGCTCTGCCCCTCATACACCTGATAATTGCATCCCTTGCTTGGCAAGCAACCTTTCTGTGGGGTGTGGACAAGGAAAGCAGAGAGGAGAATAAAGCAGCTGTTTTGTCCCAGAGCTTTCATTTCACTGGGGTCTGACCCTATTTTCTGAAACTAAGAGACAACATGTGGAAGAAGGACAGGAAAAGATGCAAGGAGGTTTTGTTTTTGGTACTCATTCCAGCCTGCTGCTTGCTGCTGGGAAAGGCGTGCTTGGTTCCAAGGGAGGATGTATGGTGGAAAGCCAGCAGCTGGGAGGTTTGGGATCCCCAGGATACCCAGTGACAAAGGACAACACCCAAGCAAGATCTGGGGTGATTTGTTTTTAAACTGCATCCAGTTAAGTCCTGTCCCATTGCATCTGTCATATGTCTCCCCATTCTCTTTAGGGTCCCACTGACAAGGTGTTCTCCGTTTTGCAGTTCTGTCTGATTTTCTCATCTCCTCAGGGCCTTGCAGCATTGAGAGGAAGGTTTTCCCTCTCTCCTTTCCCTCTGTGAAATCATTTTAATTGCTGACTGCCCCCCCCATGTTGGGCACACACCATCTTTAGTTGCATCAAGAGTCTTTTTCCTCTCTTCCTGAATTTCCCTGTTTTCCCTCTGCTTTGGGGAAAGTCCTCCTGTTGCAGACGTGACCCCTTGCAGAGCTGTGACTGCAGTACCCAGGCTGCAGGAGCAGAAACATTTCAGGTGCCAAAATGGTTTTCTTTCTGTGGGGGAAGATGTAACTGTGAGCAAGTCAGCAAAGAGTTTATCAGACTCCTTGATAGACCCTATCACAGTGAAACCTTGGGAGTCTGGAGTGTAAGACAGAGAGCAAATGGGATCTGTTTGCGTATAAGGGTAAACAGGAGGCTCTGTTTGTATGCACTGTCAACCTTATCACACTTAAGAAACCTTTCATCATTTGTCACTGTTGTTTGGGAGAAGCTAGGCCAATTAACTGATGAGAGGGACAGGAATTCTTGGCTTGTAAGTGAATGGTATATAAGATGTATGTTGAACACAATAAAGCAGAACTATTCTAAGAGCTATTCTGATGCTACAAGAAACTGTGAGAGCTCTCTAACTCGACTGAGTGCCGACATCTTTCCTTGCTGTGATGGAATGGGGTACACAGAGAAGGAGGACTTCCATTCTCGGGGTGCATGTGTACATGGGAAGGCATGCAGGGTGGGCTCTGTCTTGGCAAGTTCAGCCAGCAGCTGTATCCAGCTGGCAGAAAGCAATGCCTTCTGTCCCATGCCACCTTTGCACCAACTGGAACTAACTCAGCCATGCAGACAGAGCTCCCAGGGTAACAAGCAGCACTACGGATTTCCATGTGCAGGGTTGTTATGCATTATTGGTTTTTCACATTGGCATCTGATAAATGATATGATGGTAGTTTCCCTGGCCAGCAGAGCTGGAGCTCTGCATTGTACACAGACAAGGAAGCAGTATTAATACACTGTTAGCAAAACCTATTATCCCTGTGGCTATCACTAACCTAGCTTGTACTGCAAACATGGGAAGACTAATAAGCTGTTCAGTAATGCAGCACTAGGATAGGAGTGAGCAGACAAGGAGCTTTAAGGCTGAGGAAGCCCTTGATCTTGGTTAATTAATTTCTTATTTGGTATAAAGTCCTAGTTATATAATGAGATCTGTACTGATCTCTAATGGGTTATGCACTGTTAGAAAAACAGTGCTCTGCTTTTCTCCAAACTCCAAACGTCAATGGAAGTTTCCCATTGTTCTTTGCTATGAGTATTTAATTGTAATAGAGGGTTTGTGCATCTTGTTATTTTTCTTGCTTTCTGGAAACAAGAAAAGAAAATAAACGATCTCTTGGCACTCAGCAGTGACAGCTAGCTTTGCCTTTGCTAACTCTACCACTTCAGCTTGTCTTGAATAAACATGATGAGAGCAATGGAATAATTAAACCTTTCAGAAAATTAACTGTTGTGGCAGTTTGCCTTGACATCATACTATATAGGTTGCAGTTCATATTTTTAATGAAAAAAAAACTGCTTTAAGTTCGTCTGTGCCTTGAAATACTGAATGTAATTAAATGTAAAAAAGTACATTATAAGATTTCATCTGGATACACAGGAAGCATTCACTGAGCATCTTCCATCTCTTCTTTCACCTTTCATCTCAACAAATACACATGAGAAAAAGTGGTTAACTGAGGAAGACTGTTAAGCAAAACAGACCTGGCTGGCCTGAAAGGGTCAAACAGGGAACATGCGGCCCCTCCTGAAAGGGAAGGACTGCCATGTGAAACTGGCAAGCATAAGTTACAACTTCTTCGTTCCATGACCCAGAGCAGAACATGTTCTGTGGAGAGAACACCTTTTGATCACTGTACTGACCATAATCCACAAAGAGCTAATTAAATAATGATGTATTGCTGTCAGCTGCACGAATGTTATCTGATTTAAGTATTATACACTCCTCTAGCTAAAAGATATAAAAACCCTGTAACAACAATAAACTTTGCTTCTTGCACCACCAGAGCCTAAGCCCGTCTGTCCCAGGCGTCTTGAGCTGGTCTCTGTCAGTTAACAACCACAAGCCCGTATGGATGAGTCAGAGCACCACATCTTTAACAAAGAGAGGATAGCCCTACCGTCTATTTTCAGTCCCACTGGATATGACAGCATCACTGCAATGGGATCACAGACAGATTGATGGCTGTGACTGCGGTGTTTGGAGACCCCTGTGCAGGGAGATTAAGTCAGCCTAAAGTGTTCTTTCTATATGTGTACTGGTTTTGCCTCAGTTGCAGTTATTTTCCCTTCAGAAAACTGTGCTGAAGCAGGGAACTGAAGGCAAGAGTTGTCTGTGCCATGATGTCTTTGGAGGGCAGGCTTGAGTTCCCTATTGATCATTTAACTACTTTCCTCAACTACTCTGCTGCTGTGATCAGATCACATCTAAGAGAGCCTTAGCCTGCCTTCCTCACTTGCTTTCTGGTTCTATGAATGCCTCAGAATTGTCCTTTCTAAATGTGGCTGACACTCATCTCCTTTTGCTAGCTATGTTCTGTTTCACCTTTCCTTCAGTATATTCCCTCCTGCTTGTCTTGTGAGCACTGAAAAAAAATGAAGAAATGAAAATGAGCAGTCTCCTTCCCTGAGAGTCAGTAGGATGTCTGGGGTTTGCAACAGTTAAGGCTATTAGAAAAGAGCTATTCTTTTGCCTTAAGGTTTGAATGTTCATCTAACAAGGTTATGCCAGACTAAGCAGGTACACTTATGAATTACACCAAAACAGAGGAAGCACACACCTCGACTTAAACTGAATGAGAAATGGATGTTGATGTTAATTTGTTGTAAATCTGAGTATTGATTTATGACTGTGTCTTTTATTTGTGAAAGTGAAAGCAGAGGCTATTCAGAGAGCCATTCTGTAGTCATAAAAAAAAAAAAAAAAGTTAAGAAGGCATATGCAGCAATCCTTTCTCTTAATGAGTGTTAGATGTAACATTTAACATACGGAAATGTTTCAGGAACAATTTTACATTTTATTTTATGAATTATCACTAGTTTTTAACTTTCACGGACTTTAACTTAGATGTGAATGTAATAGATATGTTTCAAAGTATCTCAGACCATTCAAAAAACAGACCTGATGCCTATTTTCTGCTTTCATCTGTCCATTCAGCTCTTCTGTTGAAAAGTCATTGGTACTGAATATTTAACAAACTGGACAAGAAAATGAAAACACTGATCAACACTCTTGTTTTCTTTCCCCAAAAAGTTTGCAGTTTTCCTTCCTTGTGTTCGAATATAAGAACTTGAGTAAGTTGTTCTCTGTGGATAGCAGAATCTTTTCTTTACTGGCTAAAAATGCTGACCTATGAAAGCTTCTTAAAGCTTACACCTTGTGTGCACTCCTGCACCTGTTGAACATTGTACAGAATCACCAGTTCAGAATGCATTTATTATTCGAATACCCAGTGGAATGAGTCCACTGGAAAACAACTACTGTTAAACTACTAAAGTTAAAACAACTACTGCTTTGAAATGGAGAATACCACAGTCCACCACATACTGCTCATCCTACTTAACAAAAAATCATATTCTGCAAACATGCAATCAGATATAAAATATATATATTATAACTAAGTGTATTTATATGTTCTTCTCTCATGTTAGTTATGTAGCATATCAAACACATCATATATGAGCAGTATTTTTCTAAAAGCATCTTTTTCTTCTCCTTTTTTCAGACATTTCCATGGGATCTGCAGACGGTAAGACTGATGTTTATCATTGTGAACTGGGATATTTTTGTGCATCTGATTTTGTAATACTCTGAACTCAGATTTATAATGCTTTCCCCAGAAGATAAGATAAAGAATTTACAGACTATAACGAGTACTTTAAAGTATATGAAGTCACCTGGGATCTATTAAAACGAGCAGAAAAAAAGAATCGCTCTTGCTTGGTCTACAAAACCTAAATCATGTTTGAAATCTAGGCTAAAAAAATTCTTATATAGTTTTTAGGGTGTAGGAATGTGTGCTAGCTACCTCTCTTAGTTATCTGAAGACATAGTTCCTTTAACCAGTTGG